AGCCATTTAAAAACACATAGTCGCGTAAAGTCTGTTATACCGAGTTTACATTATTGCTTTCCACAGCTATGCTTGGATTTGTCATAGACATAAATCGATTTATGTCTATGGATTTGTGATATGCATATTCAACTCAGAGTTTCCGAAAACCAAATATTTCTATCAGTCATTTGGACTGACAATTTAATTCGTTCTACCAGTCCGAAGTTTAATCATCTATTGGAATATAAATATGGGTTGGTCACAGGATTAAATTCCATAATGCCCAAAGGGCTTTATGATGAATTTAATCTTGTACCAACCTGTATTTATAGCCCGATAGACAGATAGATGTTTTAAAACGATACCTTATTACTTATATTTACATTATGACTTATTCATGCTTTTAATTTGTCTGATTGTGTGGTCCGTGTAACACTTAACAATTCAAATAACAAATGTTTATCTTAACTAATCTTTACCTGGTTCAGAGGCTCAGTAACCAGTACTGTATTAGTAACCAGGGGCCCTTTTTACAAAAGAACTTACAACTAAGTCCAAAAACTTCAGATTATTGTAAAATCCTGCAAAATCAATAATTCTCTTTGAAATTGTCTGTGTAAAAATATCTAACCACATTCTTTTAAAACAGTTTAAAATAGTTTTCGATAAAAATGTTAATTAAAAAGTTATATGATTATTAAACTGGGTCTTAAGTCGTAAGTCCTTTTGTAAAATGGCCCCTGAACCTAATAAAGTAATTGAGTACTGAACGTGAGGGGAATGTTGCCCTACAATAATGGCGGTTATGGGAATAACTCTTGCTTAAATCACATCAAAGGAAAATACTTCATTTCATGGCCTTGTCTAGTTATTACCCCTTTTAATACATCATAATGCTGCCAATTCAACTGTTTAAAAAGTACTTTCGACTCGCATAGACAGAAGCACTTTCAATAACATCTTACATATAGGGATACATTTGCAGCCATTAAAACAGACGCGACGTCGTTTTATCCAGTACCAACTATCGTACAGAAAACATTGTGTAGAATGCAAATAGACTATATCATGCACAAAAATATACGCAAAGAACATACACAATTGGCTAAAGGCAAATACTCACCGTTAGCAGTCAACAGAAGTCTTGAAAATCGTTGTAAAATTCAATGGCAAATTTTGGACAGCTTGCTGCTTCGAATTTCAAATCTTCGTGTGACTTCGTATATTTCCGCCGCCACTTCCGGTACTCTTATTTTCATCATTTTTTGAACTTATTTCGTGTGAAACACGTGTCTAACAATAAAAAAATTGTTTTTGCAAACAAAGAAATAATAAAAATGCAATTTATATATATGAAAATAATTATTGAAATTCAATCGGCACGTTCCGCTTTTAACGGAAATTATCGACAGAATCTGATTGGTCTAACAAGTCACGTGGTTTTTGTCGTCTTTGGTGCTGAGAACAGGGGAGACGAAGATGAAGAAGTTCGCGATTATCAACTTTGTGAAGTAGAAGAACGTCGGTGTTGCGCCTTGTGACTGGTTAGAACGTGACTGTGACGTCGATGGTACAGTTATTGTTAACTGGGAAGAGGGGGAGAAGAAATCACCGTATGAAGTTGTGGTCCTGGGATTTTCAGGTCAGTTTCAAGTTATCTCCCTTTAACGCCATTTTGGATTTCTCAAATCCTCTCAAATCCATTATTTAAATTGATAAATAATATGTCAGAAATTGATGAAAAAGAAATGTTCAATGCACTTTTGAAGTTAGATATATTCGTTTGCATTTTCTTTTATTAAGATTATATTTTTATCAAGTCTTGACCAAGTGGCTTTCTGGATATTTATTTATCCCCCTTGGACGCCATTTTGGATTTTCAAATTCATAATTTTTAAATTCTTAAATCTAAAGCATGAAATGTTATCAAGAAAAAGAGAACAGCTATAGAAAACGAACAGAAAAAATGGTTATTATTGAACTAAGAATTTAATAGACCTATGCAATACCCATATTAAATTTATGTGAGAGTGGGTAATCTTTATGATGATCTTCAAATAAAATCTGTTCCAAGACTAGCAACAGTTGACTTACATGTAATATATGTCATGCTCATCAGCATTTAGAAGGTCATACATGTCATATGAGAAAAACTATTTTTATATTTTAACTGCATGAAATTCTGCTCAGAAAGAATGAATTTGGATTTCTTATACTGTATCGCTTTCATATTTAAAAAAAAATACAGGGCTTACTTCATGTACTCTGTATTGAAACTGTACATTCTTATTTTCAATCATTCCAAAATATTTTATTTATAATGGAGTTTTATGAAAAGTCTTACATTTACAATCGACGACTGACTTCTACAATATTGAAACAGTGACTTACTCCATTACTAAAATGTAAAAATCAGCTGTCGAATGTAAAAGTAGGTGTCTTCATAAAACTCCACTAATAGGCTAATGACAAGTGATAATCCAATCTAATTAAAATTTGATGTTAGATCCGCTCACATACTGGCTAGTCGCTACACTAACATCTAACAACATCCTGCAGAGGGTCACGTCAGTGGTAAAATTCCGAGCGACTCTAAACTTTAATATTCACTTCAAAAATATATACGATGATTTTGCCAGCAATGATTTGATTGATATAATTTGACCTCTGACGTGACCCTCAATGGAATGTTGTTAGATGTTAGTGTACGTAGCAAGTGAAGTATGCGAGCGGATCTCACATCTAATTTTAATTAGATTGGTGATAATCAGAATTTCATATTGGTGCCAGAGCTCCAGATAATTTTTATGCCCACCTTCGAAAGAGGGAGGGCATATATTGCTTTGCTGCTGTCTGTCTGTCGGTCCATTTAGTTTCCGTTCATTTTCTTCGCAACTTTTGTATACATACTGAAATGAAATTTAGTACAGAGATATATCACATGAATATATCTAGGATAAATATCTAGGTCAAGTTCTTTTTTTGGTACTATCGTACCATTTTTTGACAGATTTATGCCCCTTGGACTTAGAAAAGTTTCAATTATTTGCCGTTTCCATTCATTTTCTTTGCAACCGTTGTACGTACTAAAATGAAATTTGGTATACAGATATATCACATGAGATATATTGGTCAAGTTCTGTTTTTGATACGATCGCACCATTTTTGGCAATATGCCCCTGGGACTTGGAAAAATTCAAATTAATATTATTTGCAGTTTCGGAACAAATTTTCTTTGCAACCGCAGTGCACCAAGTAACACTAAAATGATTACGAACAGAAAATTGATTTTGCGAAATGAAAATATTTTTTTTCGCAACTGAAAATTTGGGATGGAAACGTCCATTTTTAAGATCGGGATTGAGATTTATAGTAAAGATTCTACATCAAGAAAATGTTTGAAGACATATACTTATCACGTAATGTTATGCCAGCATGCTGTGCAAAGTTTGATAGAACCAGAGACATGTATAAATGATGTTCCTGATAGAATGGCATTCAAACTTCTTAAACTTTTAGATCCGACCTTGTTATTGAAGCGTTTGGTCAATATCAAGTTTTAGATTATCTCCCTTGGTGCGCTCTTTAATTTTGAGGAGGGGAGTTTTTGCCGCTTAAACAAACAGGTGGGACAGATATTTATCATGTTTATTATTTGGATATATCGCATCTTCGATATACTGGTTTATCGTAACTATATAATTGTAAGGATGCATGTTCAACTCGAGAACAACCGAATTAAAGTAAAGGTTTTTTTTAAAGCAAAAAAATCGTATACAAAACAGAAAATTAAGTGGATGTGAGACTTTTCATTCACAAGAGATATATGGACCTCTAATTAAAATACGGTACACATGAATCTGATCATTGCATGTTGGCAATCTAAATGACACATTGATTTTTTACCTGATTATAACTTCAAAAAACCCACTAACTTTTTAGAGAATATTTGTACAATCAAGAAAATATTTTATTTTTATTAAGCGCACAACAATATATTTTGTTTTCAAGTACCCTGTAATTTTAAAGCAGATTTATGAATATACACAGTTGAGCTCGATTAAACCATAAAATACATCACTGATTAACATCTTTATCTTTCTATAAAATGAAATAAATTTTAAAAGCCAAGACATCGTTCATTTATTTCTGCACGTTTATAGTTTTATACATAAGCAAACTGTCTTGTATTTTCATGCTGAATACAATTTTATTACTGTAATCAGATTACATGTGTTCTTCTATAACCTTAAGGGTATATGTATTCATTAAAAATATTTTATTCAACCTAGCAAATTTTTAAAGTAACAGTAATAAGTAATCTTTGATATAATAAAGACATAATACATGTATATCCTTATTTAAATTATCAAGTTTTATTCACAAAATGTATTTTTTATGGCGAGTGAAATATTTGATAATGGCGACCAGAAATTCTGAAATGGCGACCAAAAACATTCTTAGGTCGCCATTTTGAGACCTTAGAGCAAGTGTGACTTGGAGCACTGAACCGTTATACATGCATGCTGAAATGAAATTTGGTTTACAGATAAATCACATTAATATCTAGGTTAAGTTCTGTTTTTGGTATGATCGCACCATTGTTGACAGAGTTATGCCCCTTGGACTTGGAAAAATTCCAATTATTTGCAGTTTCCATTTATTTTCCTTGCAACCATAGCACATAATGAAATTAAATTTGGTATACAGATTTATATCTAAGTCAAGTTCTGTTTTGGGTATGATTCGACATTTTTGACAGAGATATGCCACTTTGACTTGGAAAAATTCCAATTTGGGAGGAGGGGGGCATAAGTGTTTTACAAACATCTCTTGTTAACCCTAGTGATTCATTTTGCCAAAGTGAAAAAACTGCATTTATTTTCATTTGATATACAGGTGACTCTCGAGGCTCGAACTCAGATCTCTCGAAGTGAAACTCCGGTCCCATTTTTTCCTCTATATTACTAAGCAAATTTACTCCTGATCCTTCAAACTTCTATCTCTCGAACCAAAACATGGGTCCTAACACGTATCCAGTTGAAGATAAATTAATGACTTTGGTGTTGGAAGTTTTTAAGGCATATCTGTTATCAAGCGGTGTGTGTTATCTGATCTCCAGGGAATAAGGCACAAGAATTAAAGATCTCTCTTCTCTTATTCTCTACATTACTGGATAAACAGCTCTTTATTTTCAAAATGAATTTGATATATATCAAGATTAATTTGATTTTGTATAATGATTTTTTTTTCAACAATCAGTTTGCAGAGTGTCATGACACATAATTGCAATATATTTCTTTAATGCAGAAATTAAAAAAAAAATGTTACAATGGAATTACAATGTATTAGTATTGATATGTTTCATTTGGTTGCACTTTTGTTTCATTCATTAAGGTGTTTCCACCCTCACAATTTTAATGGTTCAAAGTTTAAAAACTGCATTTAATTTCATTTATTATACTTGTTCCAATTATTGCAAAAATTTAATACCATAACATAAATAAACATTAAATGTGTATGTCAACATAAAAAATCCAATTTTTTTGTACCTGATTATTTTTTATGTATTACTATATGTCATGATCGTTTTTATTCTAATTTGAATTTCCTCTGTCAAAGATTAGAGATATTTTTCATACGTAGATTTGGTTGGGAAAATATTAAGATGATTCAGTTGGGCTTCTTTAAAAAAATGATCATTGAACAGTAACCAAATGTTTGATAACAAATAAATATGCAATTAAATGAATATTAAATTTAAGAAAATCTTTGATACAGTGTATGTTGTTAATACTTACTACTTATAAGATACTTTTGAATTGTGAATATTTACACATGATTTAGGAAACTATTATTACAATAAAGCAAATGCCTGAATGAATAGACCTAAGAAGGAGTTATTCATATCGATATTTTTAAAAGATTGAATAATTGATTAAATAAAGAAAATATGCATTTTGAAAATTCTTTTACTTAAAACATTTATCATTACACCTATTGTAAAGCACTCTACCCTAAATCATTAAATTGTAAAATACCTGTCCTGGAAATATTGTTCTATTAGGTATGAAGAGATGATTTGTTATTGCAAAACACACTTTAAAACTAATAAGTCGTTGAAGAATCATAAAACGTTATATTTCACAATTTTTTGTAAGTAAACAGTGCCATTTCCATAAAGAATTTTTTGAATTGGACTACTCTGAAAAACCCAGCAGTATGTAAATTGGACAGTTCTATTGATACAGAATATTACCTGTAAAATACGATAGAAAACGTGCAATGACTTTTTTAAAAGATTGAATAATTGATTAAATAAAGAAAATATGCATTTTGAAAATTCTTTTACTTAAAATATTTATCATTACACCTATTGTAAAGCACTCTACCCTAATTATCATTACACCTATTGTAAAGCACTCTACCCTAAGATATTGTTCTATTAGGTATGAATTTAAATTAATTACTGTTTTTGCAAAAACCTATGACATCACAGGAGGGTGGTTTTCAAGAATCATAATGAGCAGTTATATTAAAATAAATTTTTTGTAAGTAAACAGTGAACACCTCCATTTCCATAAAGTATTTTTTGAGTTAATTGAAAAACCCAGCTTTTGCTGCAGTTGAAATGTTTTCCTTTGGACAGTTCTGAACATTTTTGATATCGAATTTGAAATATTACCTGTAAAATACGATAGAAAACTAATCAATGACATATATTCATATAAATTTTAAAGCGTTCATATAAAAGTAGAAGTTTGCTTTTAAGGATGATCGATGCTAAACATAATATTTAGTAAAAAAAATAATTTATTAAGGTTTTTCTTTTGACGCCGCCATATCAAACTTTTCTTGTAATCCCTTGTATGGTTGGGTTAGCATGGAGAGTTCATAAGGTACTTAAAGGTATTTTGCTGTAATCATTTCTTTAGAACACATCTCTGATCAAGTAGTCTTATCTATATCCTTTTGGAATTAGATAAAAGAACTGTTGGTTGTTATTTAATGAAATTTTGTTATACAGATGACAGAGAAGATGCAGAATCAATGATGGATAGATATATTGAGACTGGAAGCTTAACAGAGAAAAGGAAAATGTCAGTGGGATTTCACGACCTCAGTGATTCATCAGATGATGAGGTACTAAAATAATATAAACTTTATTATGACATTACACTGTATTATGTATATGACAGTATTAAGAATTTATGACAATGATTGTAAGATTAGGTCTTTATCTGTATTTTTCGGATTGCCTTCATTAAAATTATTACCCCCTTTGGAGGGGAGATGGTATACATTTTTACCTTTGTGTGCTTTAAAAAAACATTGATGCAGTTTTCTCAGCAACTACTTGTTGAAGATGCTTGAATTTTTTTCACACACGTTCTTCATGTGTTGGAATTTATTTTTGTATGAATCTGATGTCAACAGAGTAAAGTATATTCACATCATACTAGTTTAGATATTACTATTGATCAAGCATTCACTCATGGACTTCTTTTTTGACTCGATTGTATATGATTTTTTAAAAACTACTTTAATTTTCAGCTTTTGAAAGAAAAACAGAAGAGAATGAGAGTCAGCTATGCTGCAGGACAGAAGAAAATGAAAGAAAAGTATCTGGAAATAAAGGTATTTGTCTTTTATATGTTTAATTTGCTTGTGAACAATAATGATCTTACTTAGAATTTTCAAGAATTCTCTGAATCCCAGAATTAAGCATTTAATCCCTTGTTTTTGTTTTAAAAGTTTCATGATCTTTTTTTCCATTTACCCCCTTTATATTCCATTCCTGTCAATATCTGCCAAAATTTTAAACTACCTTAATTATAATGATAGCTCCACTTGACAGGTATTTATTTGTTTTAATTTATGGACATGTAATAAAAAATGTAATAATCAGTATTGATGTTATGTCTCATGCATCAGGGACATCTGTACCTTTTGGACATATCTAGCTCTATATGTTATTGAATTTGTTTTGTTATAAAACTTTGTGTCCAAGGGATCGGTCAAAAAATGGACCTTTCCGGAATTTCAGTGTGAAAACAAGGGACGTTGATATAGAAAAACAATGAGTTATTCAATGTTTATTCCATAAAACAAGCAGTAATAGGTAATTAAGTTGGAATAAACGCCAAAAAAAATTGCATTTGCATAAATAAGAGAAAATTCTTCTTCGTTTTTCTTTGATGTTATTTTTCCCAATTGACCTGTGGTACCGGACCCTTTCCAAATGGGTGGGGAAAAAATTGCTGATTGAATTTAACTAAAACACTGGTCCACTTGACCAGTGAATTTTATTTCCAAAAACTCTGAATTGTCAGCAAGCCCATCATCAACAATGACACTATCATGAATGTTTAATTTTATTACTAGGAAAACAAGCAGCAAGAAATGGAAGACAACACCCAGAAAGAGAAAGAGCAGGTTAGACAATTTAGTTGTTAATATCTATGATTTATAAATTTCTTGTTTTTTTTTAACAATATAGTTAAAGACAATTAGCAATTATGGACTAAGACAATTTTTTAAAACAAGGCATTTCTGCCTCAATACCAAGAAAAAGAAATACATTAAAATTAAAAAAAACCCACTGACAATAGTTTCAGAGAATTATCAGTTTGACAAGAATTCAAGTGTGATATTGAAATCGCATGTTGAAATGTTTTGAAATCACAATTACATTGCTAAATTCATTATGACCATATTCCTTGAATTCTCTGCCTTCTGGACACATTGAATAGCTAATATTATTAGTATTCATAAACAGTCTTCAAAAAACCCTGGGAGTTGGAATTGGAAGTGGGCAATTGGAAATATATAAATTTTGGACATATATAAATTTTGAGGCCTAAATCTCTTTATTCTCAAATAAAATTGTAAAAACACTTTATTCTGGAACTCATGTGCAAAGGAGGCACAAAATTAGTGTACAGATTGAAAAGAATATTTATGGTTAGACAATAGATTGATAGAAATGGATCTTGGATAATTTCTGGCATGAAAAGTCATACAAGAATAAGATTGCTCCATAAATTTCAGGGCATGTTAATGTATTGGCTAACATAATCATGATAATTACTGGTTACACCTGCCTGAAGGGAATGTACTAAAAAAAGATTTGACGAGATGGCATAAGGTATTAGTCCTAGGGAGTAGCTCAGATATTTCAAGGAGTAGTCCTCAGATGGGGGGAATAGTAACATCTCAGGAATAGACAGTTTATGGTATAAATCTTAACCAATCTCATTGTTTTCCTACTATTGATATCAGCATAAACATTCAAAAAATTATATTATTTTCAATTAATATATATAGACAGTCAAGCATTGGCAAATTTAATAAGCAACATTTTAAAAATCTCTACAAAGCAATATCCCAAGTCTAAAATATACTGGCCCAAGACCAATAGGCTTTAAAGTATTTCAAGCTTTGAAATATCATATTATTTTAAAACCTTAAAAATACATAATTCAGAAAAAGCATGTGATATATTTGCAGGAGAAGGAATCACCCTCTGAAATGACAGATACCCAGGAGGCTAGAAGTTCTGATGAAGATGAACAGGTATAAAAAGCTACTAATGTTTTTGTGAATTGTTTTCAGAATTTGTTTAATTATAAAGATGACGCAATCATTCATTCATTGTGTGTATCAAATTTGGTGATCTCAGTCACACTAACGGACAGGCCAATAATACTGTATTGTTATCTTTTTAGGTTGAAAGAACTGGTGAACAGAAGAAAAGTGGTGCCACTGAAGATGAAAAGACAAAAGATGATGCCAATAAAGAAAATGAACAGGTATGAGTTCTTTAAAATGCATGAGAAGAAAAAAATATATATACTTTGATTAATTTATGCTTTTAAAGAAAAAAATTACTCTCATCACTAGATCTGTACAATTAAGGGGACAGATATGTTTTTCTTTTTATTTTATTCTTACCATCTTATTACAATTCCTGCAAACTTTGTTGATTGTTATGTTTTAATTGGATATGTCATTTACTGGTAAGAACTGCATAAATACTATGTACAATTGTTACAAATTTTATTTTTTATTTCACAGACAATTTTCAAGATCAAGAAAGTTATACACTCAGAGGTATGCCATTTAAGCATCATTTTAATCTTTGATTTTCAATAACTGTTTATTGTTTTCCCCACATGTAACATTCCTTTAGAATGAATTGGGCAAAATCATTTGTATGGTATAGTTTATTCTCATCTCAAACATCAGAATTGTCAACATTTTTATTGTGGACTCAACAGACTCGAATTCTTTAAAATTACTTTTAAGAATGAGTGGATTTAATTGGGACTCTTTGATTGGAACTCTATGAACTATGTAAAATGTAATAAGTATACAAGCATTTTTTTATTTTTTCAGACGCCAGTGAGAATGAAGAAAGTAGTACCCTCAGAAGTAAGTCTATTATTGATTTACTCATTTAATGTCAAATATAACCTTTTAGATTCATTTTCATTTGTTTCAAATCTTTTTAAAAATATAGGCAATGCATTGGCATATGGTAACTGATTTTTTTTTTTTTAATTTAGGATACCAGCAGTTCTCGCCTGTTGAAGAAGTCAAGGATTGACAGAGTAAGACACCTTTTTTTATATTAATTACTTGAAAGAGAAGCAGTTTTAAGCAAAAATAAAGACAGTGACCAATTATGAGATAAAATGAAATGCATTAATAAAATAAATAAGTAGAGCGTAAGTTGTGTTTTTCAAAATTTCATTAAATGATTAAAGAAATAGTTTTTTGAGGCAGTGGCCTGTTGGCCTCTCATGTGTTTTGGTTATACCCTTGCTCCAAAGGAGGGAGGTATACCGTTTACCCTTATGTGTCTTTCTATCTATCTGTAACAAATCTTTGGTCACAATTACTCATTGCAGATGCTTGCAATTTTAGCATATTCTTTGCTGAGGCATACCATAGAATCTTTTAGTTCACCTGAGCTGAAAGCTCAAGTGAGCTTTTTTTTTTTATCAGCCTTTGTTCATTTGTCTGTAAACTTTTCACATTTTCAACTTCTCAAGAACCAAAGAGCCAGTTATAACCAAACCTGGTACAAAGCATTCTTGCATGATGTGGAGTTAAAATTGTTAAAATGAAGGGCCAAATCCCTTACCAGGGGGGAATAAGCAAGAAAAGACAAAAATAGGGTGGGGTGATCAAAAAATCTTCTCAATACATTGTAATCACTGGGCCATAAAAGCTGAATCTTGTGTGGAAGCTACCTGGGGTAGTGTAGATTCTAAATTGTAAAAATCATGACCCTTTTGCACCACAATAGGGAATCCAAGTTTTACATAGAAATACATAGGAAAAACCTTTAAAAATCTTCTCAATAATCACTGGGCCAGGAAAGCTAACTATTATTATAAGGAAGCATCCAGGGGTAGTGTAAATTCAAAATTATTACAATCAAGACTTGGGGGGAACAAGAGATAATAACACATGTTTATAGTAGTTTTCTCTTGTATCAGGATGGGCTAGTAAATCTAAAACGGAAAACCTTTGGGGTGAGGTGCACAACTGGGTATAAAGTGGAACTGCATTTTCTCTTTGTTACTCTGATCTACCTCTGGGTATTAAGTAAATAGGGTAAGCATGCTAAGTTCATAATTATGCTGATCAATGGTGCCTCTTTCAAAATTGTGAATTGTGAATTTCCTGGCCTCTAGTGTAAAACACGAACCAAAGTTACAGCTTACTCCACTTACATTGAACTCGCTTATTTTGAAATTCCGCTTATTTTGAAATAGAAATAAATCTCCAGTTTTTGCCTCTCATATTCTTTGCATTAAAATTACGGTTATATTGAAATCGGATATATTGAAATTTCGCTTATATTTAAGCCACTAATCTGTCCCCACAGGTGATAATGAGTTGTTTTCATGACGGTTATATTGAAGTACTCCCTGGCGGCTGTCGTTACGGTTGGTGACAGTAATTATGCCTGATTGACCAGTTTATATACACAGGTGTGAATAATTAAGTTTTCACCTTATGTGTTTTTATATTGCATACTCTTACGAAAAATAATTCTTCACTGTTAAATTCTATGCATCCATGTGTATATAATATGGACATATTGAGGCTAAACAGCTAAACGTAATATAGTAACCCCCACAGATCTAGGGAACAAAACATAACTTTGAAATTAAATACGTACTGTTAATGGCTATTGATAAGCCTAAATTGAAATAGCTAAGGGGTTAACCCGAGTACACTTATGAAATACGAGCAGTGTTCAGCAGTACTCAACCATATGAGTCCAGTGATTTTTCTCCAAAATGTAAATAAATGCGATCGGGGAATAATAATGAGGTTGACGATTGTCTTTTCAATGAAACAGAAATAAAAAAAATTAAACTTTCAAGGACTAATATTCTATGTAATCTGTTTACTGTTATAGATAAACGATGACAACATTAAATTGTTCGGATTTGTTCTTCTTTATGGTTTAGATCGAGATTGAACTTGTAAAAATGGCGGCTTCACAATTTCGCTTATATTGAATTACGGATATATTGAAATAATGGTCCCCTGAATTTCAATATATCCGGAGTAGGCTGTAATTGTTTAAAAGTTGTTACACAATACTCAGGTGACCTATAAGGCATGTGGGCCTCTTGTTTTTTTACCTTTATGTTAAACATATATTGTTTTCGGTAGCTTATGGGCTTATGACTGGCAACCAGGGCTGTAGCCCAATGAGCTAGTAACTAATTTTTGTAATTGCACACCCATGGTATTCCATGTCAACTTCGTGTTGGTCTTTGCATCTGTTCATACCATACATAACAAATGTTTGTAGCAGTTTTCTCAGCAACTTTGCATTACAGTTTCATGAGATTTTAGCACAAACTTTGTCGAGGCATAAATATATTATGCCATATGGTGGTATTTATTTTTGCATGAATCTGATGTCAAGTACCTATTGATCTGTCTGCCGTGATTGAACTTAACATATTAGAATGATAGTGTATTAGAGCAGGGGTATTACTAGTGAGTATTATTGTTTTCATTTGCTTTATTTTGCTAATTGACAACTTGCTTTTTTAGAAATCATCCTGGTTGAGAAATTTAGAGGAGGTTGTTTCATCCGATGATGAAGAAGATCTTCGACTTTCGAAAGAAGAGCTGATGACCAAATGTCAGATGCAAGCATTCGAACTTCAAAAGAGATCAAAGGAGATAAGACGATTGTCCCAGGAGAATGAAAATTTACGTGCCGCTCTAGGACTTGCTAAAGGTAGGTTGTCAATTTAAAGTTATAGTTATTCCTGAGCTATTATCTTAAGAGGGGGGGGGGGGGAGAGAGGGGATGGCCTTAAACACACACACAGCATAAATTTTGATAGTTGTTTCATACCCTCCACATAATTTTTACTGGAATAGCCCTAACATCATAATAAATAATTACTACAATTTTTTTTTATCAAGTTACTAGAATGAAAAGAAAAACATTGGTGCCAATGAAATGAATCGTGATATTAAATTGCCAGTGAGTTTTTTTCTTAGAAACTTTCATTCATCAGCTCTATAAGATAATTCTGCATGATTCTAAAATTATATATATAAAGTTTCGTAAAGTTTCAAAAGAATCATGATTTCGCACATGTAACTATGTTGGAATACTTAACGACAGATTTGTGTTCCTGGGTAAGCAGAATTTTACCGAATTCTGGGATGTAATTTCATGTGAATTTTTTTTTTATACAAATGATGCAACATTTCAAATTTTTAAAAAGGTATTCAATTGTTGGGATGCACATAGGGTGGTATAAGATAAACCACATAATTCTGAACATTGATCTGCCAGAATGATTCCATATTTTCTGACAACATTTGAAAACAAGAGGCCCATGGGCCTTATAGGTCACCTGAGCATTATGCAACAACTTTCCAGTGATTGAATTTGATTCATGTTTTAATCCAGATGCTATGGCATTCACAATTTTGAAAGAGGCACCATTGATCATCATAACAATACACTTAGCAGTTTCTTAGTTTGTTTACTTAATACCCATAGGCAGGGTAGGGAACAAAAAATGCATTTCAAGTAATCAGTAATATTCAGCATGATCAGTAATGCCCCAATCACACATGAACCCCTGACCCTTAGGCCTAGATCCACACATTGCACAATTTTTGAAAAGGCGCCCTTGCTTTTCAAAAATATTTGATTAATACCAAGGAGCATATTTCGAACAATTCATCCAGTTTCAGTATATAAGTACAGCCCCCCTCCTTTATGGTACCCCTGACCCTGGGGCCTTGAAATTCACAATTCTGGAAGATTAGTACCCTTGCTCATCATAACTATATAGGTAGTTCATCTGCTTAATACCAAGGAGCAGAGAAGAAAACTTTCAAAGATTCAATGTATTTTCACTATATAATCAATAGAGCCCGCCCTATCACTAGAACCCCTGACCCTAGGGCCATAAAATTCACAATTTTGGAAGAGGTATTCTTGCTCATCATAACTATGTACATGTAATTGGTTTATTTCATTCCTAGGAGCAGAAAAGAAGATTTTCAAAGAATTCATGTATTTTCACTATATAAACTATAGAGCCCTGCCCTAACACCAGAACCCCTGACCCTGGGGCCATAAAATTCACAATTTTGGTAGAGGCACTCTTGCTCATCATAACTATGCACTTATTTAATTTATTTAATACCCAGGAGCAGAGAAGAAGATTTTCAAAAAATTCATGTAATTTCACTATATAATCTATAGACCCCCCCCCCCTTACACCAGAACCCCTGACCCTGGGGCCATAAAATTCACAATTTTGGTAGAGGCACTCTTGCTCATCATAACTATGCACTTAGTTAGTTTATTTAATACCCAGGAGCAGAGAAGAAGATTTTCAAAGAATTCATGTAATTTCACTATATAATCAATAGAGCCCCACCCTGACACCAGAACCCCTGACCCTGGGGCCATAAAATTCACAATTTTGGTAGAGGCACTCTTGCTCATCATAAGTATGCACTTAGTTAGTTTATTTAATACCCAGGAGCAGAGAAGAAGATTTTCAAAGAATTCATGTATTTTCACTATATAATCTATAGACCCCCCCCCCCTTACACCAGAACCCCTGACCCTGGGGCCATAAAATTCACAATTTTGGTAGAGGCACTCTTGCTCATCATAACTATGCACTTAGTTAGTTTATTTAATACCCAGGAGCAGAGAAGAAGATTTTCAAAGAATTCATGTAATTTCACTATATAATCTATAGAGCCCCACCCTTACACCAGAACCCCTGACCCTGGGGCCATAAAATTCACAATTTTGGTAGAGGCACTCTTGCTCATCATAACTATGCACTTAGTTAGTTTATTTAATACCCAGGAGCAGAGAAGAAGATTTTCAAAGAATTCATGTAATTTCACTATATAATCTATAGAGCCCAACCCTGACACCAGAACCCCTGACCCTGGGGCCATAAAATTCACAATTTTGGTAGAGGCACTCTTGCTCATCATAACTATGCACTTAGTTAGTTTATTTAATACCCAGGAGCAGAGAAGAAGATTTTCAAAGAATTCATGTATTTTCACTATATAATCTATAGACCCCCCCCCCCCCCTTACACCAGAACCCCTGACCCTGGGGCCATAAAATTCACAATTTTGGTAGAGGCACTCTTGGTCATCATAACTATGCACTTAGTTTATTTAATACCCAGGAGCAGAGAAGAAGATTTTCAAAGAATTCATGTAATTTCACTATATAATCTATAGAGCCCCACCCTGACACCAGAACCCCTGACCCTGGGGCCATAAAATTCACAATTTTGGTAGAGGCACTCTTGCTCATCATAACTATGTACTTAGTAGGTTTATTTAATACCCAGGAGCAGAGAAGAAGATTTTCAAAGAATTCATGTATTTTCACTATATAATCTATAGAGCCCCCCCTCCCCTTACACCAGAACCCCTGACCTTGGGGCCATAAAATTCACAATTTTGGAAGAGGTACTCTTGCTCATCATAACTATGCACTTAGTTAGTTTATTCAATACCCAGGAGCAGAGAAGAAGATTTTCAAAGAATTCATGTAATTTCACTATATAATCTATAGAGCCCCACCCTGACACCAGAACCCCTGACTCTGGGGCCATAAAATTCACAATTTTGGTAGAGGCACTCTTGCTTATCATAACTATGCACTTAGTTAGTTTATTTAATACCCAGGAGCAGAGAAAAAGATTTTCAAAGAATTCATGTATTTTCACTATATAATCTATAGAGCCCCCCCCCCCCTACACCAGAACCCCTGACCCTAGGGCCATAAAATTCACAATTTTGGTAGAGGCACTCTTGCTCATCATAACTATGCACTTAGTTAGTTTATTTAATACCCAGGAGCAGAGAAGAAGATTTTCAAAGAATTCATGTAATTTCACTATATAATCTATAGAGCCCCCCCCCCTCCTTACACCAGAACCCCTGACCCTGGGGCCAAAAAATTCACAATTTTGGTAGAGGCAATCTTGCTCATCATAACTATACACTTAGTTAGTTTATTTAAAACCCAGAAGCAGAGAAGAAGATTTTCAAAGAATTCATGTAATTTCACTATTATAATCTATAGAGCCCCACCCTTACACCAGAACCCCTGACCTTGGGGCCATAAAATTCACAATTTTGGTAGAGGCACTCTTGCTCATCATAACTATGTACTTAGTAGGTTTATTTAATACCCAGTAGCAGAGAAGAAGATTTTCAAAGAAATAATGCATTTTCGCTATATGATCTATTAAGCCCCACCTTAGCACTATAGAACCCCTGACCCTGGGGCCATGAATTTCACCATTTTGGTAGAGGACTGAATGCTGATTACAATCATGCAAACAGTTTGATTGCTTGATGTCCAGGAGTAAAGAAGAAGATTTTTAAAGATTGCACTAATTTTAGTGGTTTTTGCCCCACCCCCCGGGCCCCATGGGGGCAGGGACCATGAAATTCACAATTTTTGTTCCCCTTCACCCATAGATGCTATATGCCAAATTTGGTTGAAATTGGTTCAGTGGTTTCAGAGAAGAAGCTGAAAATGTTCAAATGTTAACGCACGACGCACGACGGACGACGACGGACGAAAAGTGATAGCAATAGGTCACCTGAGTTTACTCAGGTGACCTAAAAAGTGACATTCCAATTCAGATGAAATCTTTAATGAATATCTTATTTTTTTTAGAACTTCCAGACCTTCTGCAGAAAGTAAGGAGACTGAAGAGTTCCCCTACACCGTCTCCAAGCACGAAGCCTTCTGCTGTGTTGTCAACACCGAAGCCTGTCTCCCCAACACCGGGAATTAGAAGAGCCCCTTTACAGGCCATCACACCTGTGGCTCGAGAAAATGAAAATGGGGAAGAGGTAATGATTATTGGAAAAGTTTTTAAGTTTATATTAATTCACAGTTTAGTCTATTTTGTTTTAAGAAAAAATCAACTTGCACACTGACAGAAAGATGTGAAAATTTTTAATAAATGTTTTGATGTAAGAAGTATGATTTTATTGAGATTGGATCAGGAATATGTACCTCTTAGGACAGTTACAGCTGTAATTGTGCTAGGTTATTTCTCAAAATAGTGCATGGTTTCATGTAAAATTTATACTATTGAAATAGTAATTTATCTTAGAATTTATTATAGAGAAGTAAACTCTATTAACTCACAGATATTATAATTTTCATTGAATACCAGCTTTTAGCATTTTTAATATGAATATTCTTCAAAACCATAAATTATCTTGCACCTGTAAGAAATTTCGCCTTCATCAATGGAACAAAATGAATTTTGTAATTAAAAAGGTAATTATTTTTATCAGGTGGTACAGTTTGGCAGTGCCTGCATCTCAGCCAAAAAGCTAAAGAGCAATGTTGGTTCCAGATACAGCCATCTTGTGAACTACATAATGGAGGAGATCTTCACAGAGGAGGAAATGGCAGAAAGTAGCCTGACCGGTTCAAAGGGAAGGACAAAAACCGAGGACATCTAACCAGCGCTGGATGCTGAGAAATTAGCAGATATCATTTGTAAGCTATTTCTTAACCAATTCTTTTAAAATAATTACTGTAAATGTTCATTCCTTATAAGAAATAGGGTTAACGGTACTTACTTAAGCTGCCTAATTTTGGTGTCATATTAAAAGGGTATAATAATAACCAAGGCTTATACAAGAGTATTAGAAGATGAGCTCTTCTAAAATGATGTAAAAAGTAAAGAATGAATGAAATTTTAAATTCATTGAACAATACACAGTCTCAAATATTACTGCCATAGAGAAAATTGTAAAATGTTTGCATAAGTGCATTGTGGCACTGTTACATTTATTTTATTATAATCATTATAAATAAATATGTATGACATTTACTTTCTAGCTTACACCAGGACCCAATGGCAAGTGTCGGCTGAAGAAATAAAGAAGACAGTTCGGACGAAGCTCAACAACATCCACAAGAAGGCCAGGAAAGTCCCCACACCAGAGGATCCATGAGTTGTTTTCACAACAATTGCTCAACCTTGTGATTTTAGACTGTGATTATTTAATTATTATAAATACCAGGAAAAGGACATTTAAAATTATTTTTATTTTTTGACGTGCCAGTATGTATGTATTGTATATTTAAATAGTGCCAATTAAGTTTCTTGACTTTCAGTTTTTATAGTGCATGTGTTTTTATATGTATATATAGAGAGAGTAGTTTTGTAGTGCTGCTTTTCTTTTTCTTTTACTAGTTTACGTATTGTATTATATTTAGTAACTTATTTGTTTATTTAAGGCATTGAGTGCCAGACAACGCAATATCATTTTTGTCAGTTTCATTTAATTTAATTGTCTTAATTTATTCTTAGAAGCTGTATTAAAGAATATTCGTTGTTATATCTTTCAAAGTGTATATGTGTTTTTATAGATTGATGCAAAGTCTTGTTAATTCTTTTGTGTTGAATATTTTCCTGTTTTCATTCTTATGAAGTTTATAGTATATTCCTCAGGATGAAAAATTCAAGTATATGTGTTTTATAGAATTTATTTTTTAATCTTCATTCCATTGCTTAATCTTCATGTCTTACTATAATATTTTTTACTTGAAATTTGAAATGATAGGTTGTATCCTGACTGTATCTAATTTGTCAAAATGAACTCTAATTTGTCAAAATGAACTTTCATGTATAGAAAAATACAGGAAACATTAATTGTGATATAAATGCAAGCTCATTACTCTACATAGCTTCATAGGAAAAATGTAAATATTCAGATTAACGACCAAAATATTAAAGAATTTATTCATATACTGTACAGATGTATGTATACCTGTTTTAAATACCGTTTAAAAAAAAAATAAAATCATGCTTTGTTTAAAACAATGAAGAGAAGACATAGATGTATTTTTGTATTTCATTTTAAAATTTATTGTTACTATTTATTTTCAATTGTAATCTATCTATGTTACAATAAAAAAATTTTTAACATATACTGTTTGCATCATTTGTATATGATAAGGGAAGTCTGGAGTTTTTACTCAAGTTGTTTCACATTTTAACTATGGTAAATCAAAGTTCCAAAGTTTTAACTATAGTGAATCAAAGTTCCAAAGTTTTTACTATAGTAAATCAAAGTTCCAAAGTTTTCGCCATAGTAAATCAAAGTTCCAAAGTTTTCACTATAGTAAATCAAAGTTCCAAAGTTTTCGCCATAGTAAATCAAAGTTCCAAGTTTTCGCCATAGTAAATCAAAGTTCCAAAGTTTTCACCATAGGAAATCAAAGTTTCAAAGTTTTTGCCATAGTAAATCAAAGTTTCAAAGTTTTCGCCATAGTAAATCAAAGTTCAAAAGTTTTCACCATAGGAATCAAAGTTCGAAAGTTTTTACTTTGGTACTATAGTTAACTATAATCACTTTAGTTAACTATAGTTTACTATAGTATTTTTTTGTAAGGGTTGAACCAGCAAAGACAACATTAAGCCTGAAAACACTACATCAAATTATTTGACCTTGACCATTTTTCTTCTTTCCAGGTTAAGGGTTAGTAAAAAAGCCAGACCAGACAATAACTTTAGATCCTTTGAAAGACTTGAAAGATGCACTGCAATTTTTTTCACATTGATAGTACAACTGCATTTGTTCATGTTGTTAAAGAAGGGGAGACATGTGTTTTTTGTTTAAAAAAATACCCACTAGTTAGGGCTGTATGTTTATTGTTACATGTTTATTTTCTTTTTCTCCAGTTAACAAGTCTCATTGAATATTTTAGGAAAAAGTTTGGGAATGGAACGGCCTCCCCACGCCTTTAAGAGGCATGTGCGAAGAAGCTGCGAGTTTTACATTCCGTCAAATTATTGAATGTCTCCTTTGTTGAAATAAATAGTTCCCAATGTTAAAATATCAGTTCCAGTCTCCTCCCAATTGTGTATTTCATGATCTATGTGAAACCTACTTTAAATAACCAAATTAATTTCAATCACTACAAATGTGTACAAAAGTTAATTTTTATCCTGATGGAGCTTTCTAGGGTAAATGAATTTTTCCAACATCAAATTTTGAACGAAGAAGTCAAATTTGCTTGTCACAAGAAATGTTTTTTAACAAGCCTAAGTCTGCTTTACTTAAAAGAAATTGTCAACAATGAAGATAAAGACAAGCATTTATTTTTAGGGATTTTGAACTTTTGAGAAGTAGACACTTGATGAATGATCTCATTTTTGTTAAAATAAGGAATAATAATAGAATGATCACCATTTCCGTTTTTACTTAAGATGCATCCTCTTTTATTGACTCGCATATGAGCTAGGTTGCTAGATTATGATGAATTTCCTTGTGAAAACACTTAACCCTTAAAGGTGTATTAAAATATGTATCTCTGGTGTTAGGGTTAGTCAATTAACCAGTAATGTTTTAATAGGAGTTATTTAAGTTGTAATTTCCTTTTCCTGCACGAAATACCAATGTTTTAAACTGTGTCAATTACGAGACAGCGGATAAGAATTTTATTTTGAAAAACTATGTAAGATCCCCATTCTGTTATGGTATAAAACAAATAATTTAAAATACTTCCTAATCTTGTTCACCTACAAACTGAATATAATTTTTTGAAAAATGCTGGATATCTCATTGTTATTTGCATATGAATTAATCCTATACATTTTTCTTTACCTTAAAAGTCGGGGAAGGTTTGAAGGAATGGATAAGGCGAAAGAACCCGGCCCTCTCCCTGGAGAAGGGCCTCGTCAGGGCCCTTCTCCACGAGGGCCGGGCAGAGGTTGTAATCCCTCCAGAGTTGGAACTGGAGGGGTTAAAAGAACTAATGGAAAACCTTAGGATAAGAATGTTGTATATAAATTGCTCATTCTGGTTAGTTAAGAGGCCAAATGCTGTCCAGATAGTTAAAATAATGAGACATGTAGATCCTAAATCACTGTCCTTTAACATATATGAACTCATTTGTAATGCCATATATAACTAGCATTTATAATTTCTTGGCGTTAGGGAGATAAATGATGTTAGAATTTGTTGCTTCCTAGACTTTAAACTTATTATATATATAATGTTTCGTGCTGCTGCTAAAGTCTTAATTGTCCTTTTGATTGATTTATTCCTGTTTGTAGCAGTGTTTTAATCCCCACAGTGGGGCTATGAAAGGAAAATGTATGCAAATTGATTCTATTGTATTCTGTGATGGGTATCAATATGGGATACCGAGTCATGAATTATACTTGTCACAGCCAAGGGAGGACTATCCTATAGGGTTACTTATACAATTCACAATTGATCCAGTTAACCACATTGAAGACTTTTTAATCCTCGGGCTTTGAAGGGTTATTTTTATTAAAAAAATTTAGCCTTGTGTGTCTGTCCGTCTGTCTGTATGTAACAAATTTTCGTCACATAGGGTGTTAGGGTCAGGGTTAGTATTGATTTATATAGTCAAGTGCCTGAATTTTTATAAAATCTTTTCTTTTACAAATGCTTAATATGCGATTCGTGTACTTGCATATTTTTAATGAAGAAACATGCCTCCTTGAAAATGGTAAATTTCATGGCCTCTATTTCAGAGGGGAAGAGTGGGTGGTATTTATTTTGAATGTATATTATGAAATTTAATGTATAACTTGTACATACAATTTCTCTTTGTTACTCTGATTTACCTTGGTCATTGGTCCCAACCCCTATATAAGTTACTAAATCACATTTCACAAATTAACTTCTTTTAATTGTATATTATTAGTGATAATAATGATTCCTTTGAATATTTATTTCAATGCTGGGTTAGGAATCAACATTGCAGCTAGATCAAAATATTTGTAACAATTTGTTTCCTATTTGTCGTCAAGTGTTTATAGGATATAATTTTAATAGAAAATGAAAGTACATTAAAACCCCTGAACATTTCTTTACCTAAATAGTCGGGGAAGGCTGAAACCCTGCCCTCGTCAGGGCCCTTCTCCACGAGGGCCGGGCAGAGGGTGTAATCCCTCCAGAGTTGGATCTGGAAGGGTTCAAAGAACCCATGAAGAACATGAGGAAGAAGTAAGTATAATGTATATAAATTGCTCATTGTGGTTAGTTAAGAGGCAGAATGCTGTTCATATGGTTTAAATAATGAGACATGTAAATCCTAAATCACTGCCCTTTCATATATTTTGTAGTTTAAAAAATCAGTTGTAATGCCATATATAACTTGCAATTATAACTTCTTGGTGTAAGGGAGATAAATGATGTTAAATGTTTCTTCTTAGAATTTAAACTTAATATATATACAAGAAATTCTGCAGGACAGGTGCATGGCTAAGGGGAAAAGGAATGGAAGTGGACTATCCTGATCATCATCCTGAGTGTATGTCAATTCTAACACGGGCAGCACCATTTTCCGAGTACGAGATGGGGAAGGACATAGGTACACACCTAACATCACAAGATGTGTTAGTACGGTATGTTACCACAGACGTCGATGCCCAGAGGTGCCAAAGGTATGGTCCATGCGAGGTCTACATTCCCTATGGAAAGAAGAGCGTCTTGCTGAC